CCACCACCTCTTTCTCACCTCCCGCGTCGACGTCCCCCGGAAGCAGCGCTTCCCAGACCGCTTCGTGGACGACATCGCCGCCCTGGTTTGCGCCATCAGCGCTGACATTGCCAGTCGATATCACAAGGTACCCCCCCCCCCATGCCCTCTAAACCCATGGCAGCGGCAGATCGAGGGTTAAGGTGAAACTGTTAACACCCATGCCACCGTGTATGTTTATTGTCGTCATATACTCACTGGCTCCCCCTAATGGCCAAGGTGTGCGTGCTTCCCTCAGGACGTGGAGATGGTGGAGAGGCTCAACAGCAGCCTGGCCTTCTTCCTCAATGACCTGCTGTCGCTCATGGACAGGGGCTTCGTGTTCAACCTCATCCGCTCCTACTACAAGCAGGTGGGCCCCCTGGCGCGGGTTCGAGGGCCGGCCCGCCCCCCTTCAGGTGGCCTCACGACTGTGCATGTTCTCCCTCACAGATATCCAACAAGCTGCCCACCACCTCGAACCCGAGCTCCCTGATGGCGCTGCGCCTGGACTTCATGCGTATCGTGTGCAGCCACGAGCACTACGTCACCCTCAACCTGCCCTGCGCCTCGCTCAGCCCCCCCGCCTCCCCGTCGCCCTCCACCTCCTCCACCACCTCCCAGGTGCGTCTCCACATGGGCGGGTATGGGTCACGCACTTTCCTAGGGTCACATTTTGTGCGGTGGGTGGTGCTGCAGGTAATGACACCCCCCCCCCCCCCCCCCGCTTGCCTCTGCCCATCTCTCCCCAGAGCTCGGCCTTCTCCTGCCAGGTGCAGGACCAGAGCGTGGCCGGCATGTTCGAGCTGTCTGTGCCCTTCCGCCAGCAGCACTTCCTGTCCGGCCTGCTGCTCAGCGAGCTGTCGCTCATCCTGGACCCGGAAGGAGAGGGGTCAGTCCCGGGGCCTAAACACAGCAAGGCTGCCCTTCAAATCGCCCGTCTGAAACAAACTCGCCTTAGATGGGATGTAGTCATGAATAATTAAATTTAAAGACCACAGTAAAATTTTCAGTTTCACTCAATTTCATCTCATTTTATGGGTATGTCTATGTAAAACTGCGTCTATCTTCTCTGTTTCTCACTAATGAAGGACTTCTTCCGTCCTGCTTCTAGAAGCCTGTTATGGATTGTCCTAGCAGTGCAGTTCACACCACTTAATGTTTCCCTTTTTTTTTTTACAGTCCATTAAGGTCATCTTCTGCTTCATGAGGCACTGCGGGATAATTTGATGGGCATCTCTCGCTTCTGCCAGTGTTTCTCGCTTCACCTTATTCTTACGTACTGCTGTCTTAGAGGCATTCTGCCTGCCGCACAGCGTAGCCTCTGCCAGTAGAACCAGCATTAACCCAGGATTTACAAATGCAGATTTCTAAAAAATGTAGAGTGGTCTCTTAATGTTTTCCAGAGCTGTATGATACAGTTCCTGTATTGTTAAAAAAAAAGATAAATTTTCTTGGCCTAATATTTGGAGCTGTGGTCAAAAACAGGTGGTTTTTAATTAATGGCTGTTATATTATGACTGTGTACACGAGCCCCCCCTCCCTTTAAAAGTCAGAAAGCTCCCATTGGCCAAACCAGGGCTGCTGTGGTGTCCTTTTTGGGGGGGCAGCTCCAGATGTTTCTCTCCTCTCCCCAACCAGGGCATTTTTCCTGCACAAAAAGGCCATCAGTGCCCTGCACTCCCTGCTCTGCAGCCACGACGCCGACCCCCGCTTCACCGACCCCCAGGTGCGCTCCCACGTGGCCAAGCTCTACCTGCCCCTGGTGCCCGTTGTCATGGAGACGCTGCCGCAGCTCTTCGACTTCACCGGTGAGTGTGGGGGGGGGCCCTGGGTGGGGCCCGAGGCCGACCGGCCGGAGATGTAATCCCACGCGTGTGTCTCTCTGCAGACACATGTCTCCCACGCGCGCGTCACGCCGCCACGTTCCCCGCCGACGACTCCGACATGGACGGCACCAGCACCATCAGCCAGTCTGTCGCCATGGCGATCGCAGGCTCACCCCTGCCGTTCTCCAAAGCGAACCCTTTCTCCCTCCCTGTGGTGAGTGCCATCCAAGAGCCGCCCCGCCTCCCCACCCAGTAACCCCCTCTGTACAGCCCTAGCCTAAGTGGGGAAGTTGAAGAACTTTGCCGCACTCCCATGCTCTGCCACTAGAGGGCAGTGTTCTCCGTGCTTAAGTCGAGTGCTGCTATTGAAACCAGCATTCTGCTAGTCGGTAGTTTTCAGGCGAACATGAGTATCTCTGTTCGTATTTTATATGCATATTTCTGTGTGTGTGTCAGTGTCTGCCTGTCACACAGTATGCCTTCCTGCCAGTGCTGGCATCTGATATCGCGTTTTTGTCCAGGAATCAGCCTTTAAGCACATTTGCAGTAGTTAATGTTTCCTGGATGTGTCCCGGTGCGCCAGACGGCGCATAAATGATCCGCTCGCACTGCGAGTGTGTGTTTGCACTTGTTCTGCTCACATCTGTGTGCGTTTGTGCAAAACTCTGTCACGTTCCTCTCTGCGGGGACAGCCTTTAGTATGAATGCGATGTGTGCGATGTCTGTAAATGTCTGGCGTGGGAGAGTGAGCGGCCGGGCACGCAGTGCGATGCAGTGACTCAGCGCGGCTACGTCATCGGCACAGGCAGGGCGGCCCGGCGGGTCCCTCTCGGCCGAATGCAGCCGCACGCTGCTGGCCTGCCTCCTCTGGGTGCTGAAGAACGGCGACACAGCACTGCTGGAACACTGGCTCTCCGACCTGTCCGTGCTGCAGACCAACCGGCTGCTGGACCTGCTGCACCTCTGCGTCGCCTGCTTCGAGTACAGGGTACCTGCCCCGCCCCCTCCACCTGGCCATTGGCCGGTGTTCTGTACGCGTGATTGGTTTGCGGGCTGGCTTCTGTGCATCTGATTGGCTCGTGGGGCCATCTGTCACTCCGATGTCGCTTCAGGGGAAGAAGGCCCTAGAGAGGATTAACAGCCTGACGTTTAAGAAGTCCCAGGACATGAAGGCTCGGCTGGAGGAGGCCATACTGGGCACGATCGGAGCGAGGCAGGAGATGGTGCGGCGGTGCCGAGGTACGGTGTGTGTGTGTGTGTGTGTGTGTTGTCATAGTTAGCGTTAGCATTTTTCCTATAGAAGTGAATGAGCGGTCCCCATAAGGATAGGTATACCCGACGTGTGTGTGTGTGTGTGTGTGCGCGCGCGTGCACGTCCCTCACACTGTGACTAACTCTCTGCAGAAAGGAGTCCCTTTGGGAGTCAGGAGAACGTCAGGTGGAGGAAGAACGTCACACACTGGAGACAGCCTGCCGACCGCGTGGACAAGTACGTCCCAATGTCCCCCAGAGGCTGTTGTCACTGACTTTGATCAGATATCAAGGCCAGCATCCTGACAAATGGGAAGGTGTTCATCTATGTCATTAATCTTTCTAAGTGTTGCCCAGATCTGTAATTAGCCTGACAAACCCTGCAGGACCAAGGCTGAGATGGAACAGGAGTCTGTGGTGGATGGAAACCTGTCAACGGAGGCGTCCCTGATAGTGCTGGACACGCTGGAGATCATCGTGAAGGTAGCAGGACACGAGCCCGGCTTCTGTGCACTGCGTACACCCCAGTTATGGGGTGCAGTTAGAATGGAAGTGGCCCGGATGGGGTGTGGCTGTGTTTATGAATGTGACAGTGAGCGTGGTTATGTTTCGTGGTGGCAGATGAAGGCTTGGGATTGGTCAAATCCCAAGGAAAAGGGGCAGTGTGTGTTTATAACAGCCTGCAAATGTGCTGCTATGACCCATATGGCGTCTGAGGGTGTTACCACATTGAAGTGGCTCAGAGGGTTTTGCGGCCCCATTTCTCTGCTCCTGCCAGACTGTGATGATGTCGGAGCTGAAGGAGAGCGTGTTGGGTGGGGTACTGAGGGTGCTGCTGCACAGCATGGCTGGCAACCAGAGTGCCCTCTTTCTGCAGCACTGCTTCACTACACAGAGAGCGCTGGTCTTCAAGGTAGGCCGCAGAGCAGCTGTTTCTGCCTGTCTGTCTGTCCCCGTCTCTGCCTGTCTGTCCCCGTCTCTGCCTGTCTGTCCCCGTCTCTGCCTGTCTGTCCCCGTCTCTGCCTGTCTGTCCCCATCTCTGCCTGTCTGTCTGTCATTGTCCCCATCTGTCTGTCTGTCCCTGTCCCCATCTCTGCCTGTCTGTCCCCATCTCTGCCTGTCTGTCCATGTCCCCGTCTCTGCCTGTCTGTCCATGTCCCCGTCTCTGCCTGTCTGTCCATGTCCCCGTCTCTGCCTGTCTGTCCCCATCTCTGCCTGTCTGTCCCTGTCCCCGTCTCTGCCTGTCTGTCTGTCCCTGTCCCCGTCTCTGCCTGCCTGTCTGTCTGTCCCTGTCCCCGTCTCTGCCTGTCTGTCTGTCTGTCCCTGTCCTCGTCTCTGCCTGTCTGTCATTGTCCCCATCTCTGTCTGTCCCTGTCCCCATGTCTGTCTGCCTGTCTGTCCCTGTCCCCATGTCTGCCTGTCTGTCCCTGTCCCCATGTCTGCCTCTCTGTCTGTCATTGTCCCCATCTTTTTTTGCCTGCCTGTCTTTCTCTGACTGTCTGACTGACTGTCCCTGTCCCCATCTCTGCCTGTCTGTCCCTGTCCCCATGTCTTCCTGCCTGTCTGTCCCTGTCCCTGTCTCTGCCTGCCTGTTTTTCATTGTCCCCATCTTTTTTTGCCTGCCTGTCTGTCTCTGTCTGTCCCTGTCCCCATCCCCATCTCTGCCTGCCTGTCTGTCATTGTCCCCATCCCCATCTCATTCTGTCCCTGTCCCCATCCCTGGCCCTGTCCATTGTTAACCTTGCCATCTCCGCTCCGCAGTTTCCCGAGATGCTCTTTGAAGACGACACAGAGCTGTGCGCTGACCTCTGCCTGCGTCTCCTCCGTCACTGCAGCAGCAGCGTGGGCTCCGTCCGCAGCCAGGCCAGCGCCTCCCTCTACCTGCTCATGCGTCAGAACTTCGAGATTGGCAACGTCAGTGCAGTCATCCTGCTCAGACATGCGCGTGAGACCCACGCACCACTTAAAGAGCATCTGTGACTCATGCCTCTTCTCTCTTGGGCAGAATTTTGCTCGGGTGAAGATGCAGGTCACCATGTCCCTGTCCTCCCTGGTCGGGACATCCCAGAACTTCAATGAAGAACACTTACGGCGTTCCCTGAAGACCATCCTCACATATGCGGAGGAGGACCTGGAGCTGAGGGAAACGCCCTTCCCTGACCAGGTAACACCCCTCGTTAATATTCATGAGGTCTGTTTAGTGCTGTGTGGGTCATTATCATTAGAGTGGGTATGGCTTAAGAATGAAGTAGGTGGATATAGTTATGCATTGTAATGAGCGATGACACCTGCAAATAGCCTTTAACCAGAGGGGGATGGGATCACTTAATGGATCTCAATCTTAGCCAGAAGACTAACTTAACAAAGGCTGTTTCTTGCCCTGTCTTTCTGAGATGTGGCTTGGTTTTTGGCTCAAATGAGTTTTACTTGCACAAAAATATTCCGAGGGCAGAATGAAAAATGATTGGTTCAGAGAGATAACCAATCAGATTATAGGAGGAGGCGGGACCAACCAATCAGATGTCTTGGTCCTGCCGCCTCTAGTTGCTTAGACCCACCTTCTCTACAGTCTGTCATCTCTCTGAACCATTTTTTGTTGTACCCTCAGAACATTTTTGTAAAAGTAAAAATCCCACGAGCCCGTTTTCGCTGGCCTTTGACTGGTCTCCCCTCCCAGGTGCAGGACCTGGTCTTCAATTTGCACATGATACTGACCGACACTGTGAAGATGAAGGAGCACCAGCAGGACCCGGAGATGCTCATTGACCTCATGTACAGGTACGGCAGGCAAACGCGCCGGTCTGTAGGGTCAGACTTTGGAGGGAATCTTAGAAACTTTTTGTAGTCGATGCAAAGCTTAGTTTTATCTCACTATACGTCATCATTTCTTCCCTTCCCGGTCAGAATCGCTAAGGGCTATCAGAACTCCCCCGACCTGCGGCTCACCTGGCTACAGAACATGGCGGCCAAGCACTCGGAGCGGGGGAACCACGCGGAGGCGGCCCATTGCCTGGTGCACAGCGCCGCCCTGGTGGCGGAGTACCTCAACATGCTGGAGGACACCCGCTACCTGCCCATCGGCTGCGTCTCCTTCCAGGTCAGCGGCTGAGGTTCAACGCGCTGACGCCCGGAAGGTTTGCAGAGCGTGCGTTTCCTGGAAGGCTGTTGGTAATGATTACATCTCCCGTTTGTTTCTGATTATAGAGCATCTCTTCCAACGTTCTGGAGGAATCGGCCATCTCAGATGACATCCTTTCTCCTGAAGAGGAGGGCATCTGTGCGGGGAAATTCTTCACTGAGTCTGGCCTGGTGGGACTCCTGGAGCAATCAGCGGCCTCTTTTAACATGGTGAGAGGAGTGGCCTATGGGGGCGTGGCATTTTGTGTCTGTATGGTCTGGAGGCGTGGCTTCTGCAGCTGGTGGCCTATGGGGGCGTGGCATTTTGTGTCTGTATGGTCTGGAGGCGTGGCTTCTGCTGCTGGTGGCCTATGGGGGCGTGGCATTTTGTGTCGGTATGGTCTGGAGGCGTGGCTTCTGCAGCTGGTGGCCTATGGGGACGTGGCATTTTGTGTCTGTATGGTCTGGAGGCGTGGCTTCTGCAGCTGGTGGCCTATGGGGACGTGGCATTTTGTGTCGGTATGGTCTGGAGGCGTGGCTTCTGCTGCTGGTGGCCTATGGGGGCGTGGCATTTTGTCTGTATGGTCTGGAGGCGTGGCTTCTGCTGCTGGTGGCCTATGGGAGCATGCTATCTGTTACCAGTGCAGTGAAGGCGTGTTGCATGCACTGTCCAGTGTGGTTTTCTCCGAACAATGGCAGCTGGGGTGAACACCACCACTTCTTCCGTCTGACAGGCGGCCATGTACGAAGCCATAAATGAAGTGTATAAAATCCTGCTGCCCATCCTTGAGGCCAACAGGGACTTCAAGAAACTGGCCGTTATCCACGGAAAGCTTCAGGATGCCTTCAACAAGGTGTACAACCAGGTGAGCAAGCATGTTGGGTGGGACAAAATGTCAGTGTTTAAATGTTATTGTTTCAGGTATGAATTAGCAGATGCGGGTGGGGGTCTCTGGGGGGGGGAGCGGTCATCTGCTGCCTATAAAAGGTGTGCAGTCCTACTCTAATTCTCTCTTCCCTTTTGTACTTCTCCATGACGCTATGATGGGCATGTGGCCCCTAAAGAGCTCCGGATGGGAGGTAAGGCTCTAACTCCCCCCCCCCGTATATGAATTTTCTAGCATGTTCCTAACCCTAACCCTAACCCTAACCCTAACCCTTTTTTTTTCTTCCTCATTCTTTCTCCGACTGTCCTGACTGGTCCCTCATCTGCCTTGTCGTGGGAATGAACTGGTGAGTAATCTCATGAATCCAGCCCCCCCAATGTGGGCCTCCCCCCTACCCCTCCCTGAGACCCCCCCTCCCCCCCCACTGTTTGTATCTCCACCCCATCTGTCTCCCCGTCTGTCTACACTTTCCTCCCTGCTCTTCTCTGCTGTCCCTTGTCTGGTACCGGTCTCCCTATTTGAAGTCCCGATTCCCATTCACCTCATCGCTCCCCCCCCCCCCCCCCCCCCCCCCCCCCCCCCCCCCCCCCCCCCCCCCCCCCCCCCCGCAGCAGCGGGAGAGGAGGAGCTTAGGCTGGCTGAGATGTCGGCGGGGTGGCCTCTGATCTGCCCTTTAAAATGTCCGCCTGTTCCCGCCCTCATGCCTTCCTGCAGGCCACAGAGGATGTTTGGGACCTATTTCCGCGTGGGCTTCTATGGCTGCCGCTTCGGGGACCTGGACGAGCAGGAGTTTGTGTACAAGGAGCCGTCCATCACCAAGCTGGCCGAGATCTCCCACCGGCTGGAGGTAGGCCGCTTTCCAGAAGGTTCCGAGCTGTCATGAGCTCGCTGCCTCACTGCTACCTTATTTTCATTGTTTCAAAGGGGAACATCACCTTCTTTCATTAAAGGGCTTATGTCCCCTTTTTTATTTTTAGCGGTCAGCCAGTTTGAGTCGTGATTCTGCACAATGCTGCCGTCTGTGAGCCCAAAAGCACCTCCGAGTGGGAGGGAATGTGTGAATGGGTCCGTTTGATAACGTCGACGTGTCAGACTCTCTGTCTGCCTCTGTGTTTCGTCTTAGAATCATGCCGTTAAGATTAATCCACCAGGAGAATCCACTTCCTCCAAAAGCCGTGTGGGACTGTAGCACAGGCTTGTGAGTTGAGAATGCAGACGTGTCCCCGCCGGCTTCTCCACCTGCAGTTCTGACGGGACTGTTTCCACGAACAGCTCTCCTTAACAGCACCCCCCCCCCTCCCTTCTTCCACAGGAGTTCTACTCAGAGAAATTTGGGGATGAGATCGTGGCCATCATCAAAGACTCGAATCCCGTGGACAAGAGCAAACTGGACCCCAATAAGGTCAGGAATGGCTTGTGGAGTTTCCTGGCATGGGGGTTGGGTCACATGGCCTTTCTAACATGAAATATCCAGTTTGCATCTAACTTCCTGTATCTCCGCCTTGATGTTCCTCTCGCTTGCTCCCGTCCAGGCGTACCTGCAGATCACCTACGTGGAGCCGTTCTTCGACACCTACGAGCTGAAGGAGCGCATCACCTTCTTCGACAAAAACTACAACCTGCGCACGTTCATGTACTGCACGCCCTTCACGCTGGACGGCCGCGCGCACGGCGACCTGCATGAGCAGTACAAGCGCAAGACCATCCTCACCACCTCGCACGCCTTCCCCTACATCAAGACCCGCATAAACGTGGCTCACAAGGAGGAGGTCGGTCTCTGCGATGACTGGAGTGGGTGTGGCTTGGGTGAGATGGGAGGGGCCTGTATGACTTGGGCAGGGTTTGGCTGTGATGGGCAGGACTTGGCTGAGATAATAATGACGCTTTTATTGATCCCTGTGGGGAAATGACTGCATCTTGTGCTCCATGACACACAGTCACACATGTAGGTGAGAGCAGGTTTGCCAGTGAAGGCAGCTGCCTGCAGCGGTCAAGGTGGTTAATGGCCCATGAACATCTGACTAATTTGCTGAAGCCGGGTTCGAACCGGTGACCTTCTGATCACAGGCACAGAGGCTTAGCCTGCTGAGCCGGTGCGCTGCCCCCGTGTGGCGCTGTGAGAGTGTGTCACTGTAGCATGGTCAGCACGTTCCCCAACATGGCTGCCATTCCCCAAGCATCCGCTCGGTCCTCTCACCCCAACGCCTCCCCCGCAGATCATCCTGGTCCCCATAGAAGTGGCCATTGAGGACATGCAGAAGAAGACACAGGAGCTGGCCTTCGCCACCCACCAGGACCCCGCCGATGCCAAGATGCTGCAGATGGTGCTGCAGGGCTGCGTGGGCACCACTGTCAACCAGGTGTGTGTGTGTGTGTTTGTGTGTGTGTGTGTGTGTGTGTGTGTGTGTGTAACGGTTGGTCTTGCTGCTCCAGGGCCCCCTAGAGGTCGCTCAGGTGTTCCTGTCTGACATCCCTGAAGACCCCAAGCTCTTCCGTCACCACAACAAACTGCGCCTGTGCTTCAAGGACTTCACCAAGAGGCGAGTGCATCTGCGCTGACATAAGCACTGACGCACGCATACACACCGATGACGCACGCATACACACCGACACACAGGCACTGACTCACACACGCACACTGACACGCAGGCACTGACTCACACACGCGCACTGACACGCAGGCACTGACTCACACACGCGCACTGACACGCAGGCACTGACTCACACACGCGCACTGACACACGTTACGACCCTCGATTCCACTCAGGTGTGAAGACGCCCTTCGGAAGAACAAGTCCTTGATTGGTCCCGACCAGAAGGAATACCAGAGGGAGCTAGAGAGGAACTACGCCAAACTGAGGGAGGCTCTGTACCCCCTGATCAACCGGAAGATCCCCCAGCTGTACAGGAGCCACGCTTCGAACGCCACACATGCACAGCGGTAACCACGGCAACCGCCTGCCCAGCCAATCACATTTAAGTGATGCTCAACCTGGAAGTTTGAAGGGAAGACTCCTGATGGGGATTTTCAGTACCAGCCCACCTGTTATTGGTTAGACTTTAACAAAGTTCAGTAGCTACCACACTGGTTTATCAGCAGCACGGTCCAAATAGTGAAATATGAGTCCAGATGTGATTATTTAAAAGCAAGTTTTGCAGAGAGAGACATTTGCCTTGAAAACCACAGTTCATTATTGAATCATGATATTTACATTGTAAAATAAATGTTTGCACACACACACATAAAATAAACGTTTATACACACACACACACACACACGCGCACAATGGCAGCTGTGATGAGCTCATCGCGATGCTGGATGCTGATTGGCTGTGTATAACCTGTGGGTGCAGCACCACAAGCTCTCAGGCAAACGTGTTAAAATGTTACGATGTGGAATTTTGATGTCAGCATTACAGTTTCAGTTTGGCAAAGGTTTCTCGTTTTGTGTGACTGTCGACAGAAATTCCCTGGGTCGCTCCAGCCTTCGCAAAGCAGACTGTTGAACTACGGCAAGGACAGCGGCTGGTCAGAGACCTCCTCTTGGTGTCTATCCCACTCTGGCCTGGCTTCACTCTCCATGCCTCCCGCCCCCCCGGGCGTCACAGCCCCACCTCCCCCACTGGCGATATCACTCCACCCGACTCCATGGCTTTGGTTGCCGTCCTCTTCAGCAGTCGGCTAGTTTCCATTCCAGTCGATAAACCATGGTTATTTCAACATTTTTTTTATGGATAATCCAGATCTTGTAATTATAAACACTATAAACGGGAAGATGAACGAACATGTAAACGGACATGAATCAGAACCCATTTTTGTACTTAAACCTGTAAACTAGTGTTTTTGCTGTGGACCAAAATGACTGCCGTCCTCCACCTGGTGTCGGGACTGTTTCCTTTTGTCGTTTCGGACCTTCAGCTGCTCTCGTGACTCCCCACAGTGTTTTCGGTCCACTGTGCTGGGTCCAGGGGTGGGTGGGGGGGGGGGGGGGGGGGGGCCAAGGGGAGTAACCACTTTGCTGTTCGACTGCTGACTTTGTACTGCTATGTTGGGGTAACAATGTCTGACTACTGCATTTCTCACAGATTTCTTTAAAAACAAAACAATTTAAGTTATAGTGGGTTTTTATAGCTTTGTATTAAATCTTTTCTTATTCCTTTTACAAATTGGTTCTTATTTGGAATAATGTTGGGCTGTATTTTGTACTGCTACACTGTAACAACGTATCAGATTTGCTTTCTCCAAGCAAGTCCCCCCGTAAACCGTCTCTCCTTTGCCACCTGAGCAGACCCGACGTTTATACTAATGATCGAAATTAATCGTTAAACACAGTAGTGGTAAAAATCACATTTTTCCGAAGAATGTGTTGAGCTTAGTCTCTATAAAGGAGCCTTGGAGGGGGTGACCATGTGCTGTAAAAGCTTATTCGGGTAAGTCTTGTTTTATTATTTTTATACTCCTGTGTTGGAGCCTGGGGATCTGGGCTCCTTGAAATCAGAAACAAGGCAATAAAGGTGGATACACAGTGTGAGTGTATGGGCCAGGAGAGAGAGTGTGTCTGCGTGCGCGTGCATTGATCACACTTGGGCACCAAAATGTCCCCATAGTGTGGTAAAACCTGAAACAGCATTACTTTTGGGAACATTTTTTAGGTCTCCATTTGGATAGCATCAATTTTATAAGAATCAGAAAACTAAATGTTTTGTGTTTTGCTTGGTCACTTAAGGTTAGAGCTGAGTATGGGCAATGGGTGTAAATTATGGGTGGAGGGGGGGGGGTTTGCCCCCCCCCCCCCCCAATAATCAAAACCTGCCAGTACAACCCCCTGGACCTCCTTAAATGGGTGGAGACCTCAGACCCACCCCCCCACCCCCAATGCTCAACCCAGAGTTATGTCCTTGGTAAGGGTTAAGGTTGTCATTAGGATTAACCTTTTGCCCATAGAAATTAATAGATGGTCCCCACAAAGATATGAATGTGTGTGTGTGTGAGAGAGAGAGAGAGAGGGTGAACTTGTGTGTGTGTGTGAGAGAGAGAGAGGGTGAACTTGTGTGTGTGTGTGTGTGTGTGAGAGAGAGAGAGGGTGAACTTCTGTGTGTGTGTGTGCGTGTGTGTGTGTGGGGAAGGTGTAAGGCCAGGTCCTAAAAACAAGCACCAGGCCAAACAAAGGAACGTACAGAACTTTAACAGCAGGAAGCAAAAAGGCCACAGCAGTGATTCAAATGCTTAATCCAAAACTCAAAAGATAGGGCCAGACGCCAAAACGGGGTTTAAAATAAACAAATAGCATTTTTTTAAATATGAAAGTACAGTAATCCCCTCAGACCCCACCTAAACTTGAAAAATCCACTTTCCCTTCCCTAAAGACTGCATGGAGGCTTTATAAGAAAGCAAAGCTCACTGATTAGTCCACAGACCACTTCTGTTTTATCGGGGTTAGAAGTTCAAACGTTTACGAGAAATGAGGGAACTTTGGTTTTAATCTGCACTAACTAGCTGCAGATACTTCGGACTTCATTACTACGACGCCCACGATTTATCGTCAAAGAAACACAAAATGCCTTTTACATTGGGGCGGAATCCGTCCTGCCTGATGAGCTAAAGTCCAGTGTTGAATTTAAAAAGTTGCTAATCGGATTTGAATATTTAAAATTCAAGAAGTGAACACAGAAATTCAACATGGCCTCCAATTCGTGGGACCGGCATGCTCAGAAATTTTAGAAAATAATAGTAGAATATTTATGGATTGAAATATCATTAATATATAATGTCAATATAGTGTTTCATACAGTCCAAATCATTTTACAACCCATTTACGTTTTGGACAAAAAAAAACTTAGTATTTAGCCTGCATATTAAATTGAACGCATTCCTGGTATACATATAGGCTAACTGTGTTGGTTAGTATGGTAAGTCAGATTGTATTTTATTCGTATAAGGCTTACGTGTCATAAATTAATTCTTACTAGAAAGAATATGCGATTTCCTGCAATTTTTGCTAGTAAGAATACGAATTCAAAATATATGCATGAAATGCAATTCTTACTAGTAAATATGATCATTCTTACTAGTAAGAATTACATTGTGGATATCTTGAATTCATATTCTTACTAGTAAAATAGAATTTTACTAGTAAGAATTAAGTTCTGGCGAGTAACACATATTAAAAAAAGACAATTTGGCTTCCTATAGGTGAGGACATGTGCACTTAAATGTAGGGAATGTGAGGACCCGAGAGCTGAGTCTCCCCTCGGGAGCCTCCAAACAGAGGTCCGCTGCGCCTGGATCTGCTTTAATTGGAGACCCCCCGAGGGGGAAGCTGCGCCGTCCACGCGCGCCCAAATGGGAAGCTTCCCGCTGCAAGTCCAGCTGGTAGGAGGGACCGCCGCACGGCCGCTTGAAGTGGACTGATCGTGGCCGCCAGCGGCTTTATTCGCTCCAGATGTCGCCTGGTGTTATGGCGCCCGGCCAGTGCCGGCAAACCGCGTATATGCGGCCGCGTCTCGATGGGAAAAACCTGTACAGCGCGCCGTGAGGTACGCGGCCATCCATGATCTGCTGGTCTGTGAACGGCTTATTGTTGATCTGCGAAGCAAAACCCTTGTCAAGTGTCTATGGCAAAGACAAAACGCAAAGCGTTGCTTGCTATTCAATTGCCAGCAATGCTTCACCGACGCCTGAATGCATTGCGTTTTATAGCCATGAAAGTAACAAACCCCATTGTTACTCATCTTATATTTTCCATGCAGTTAAAATGACAAAACACATTTATTTCTCACATCTATATAAATTCGGTGTTGCATTCACACAGCCCTGGGTTTAAATTATGTTATAAATAAATGTGCCCTAAACTAAAAGCATTTTGTCTACCTGGGAATCAGTGAACTGTATAAATATAGTACAGCCCGCAAGTTGTTATTTCTGTAAATCTGGTTTCCTGCTTATTATTTGCAACGTGCGGCTTTTGCTTTAACAGTCCTTCCGCAACGGTGCGGTTTTTCAGTTTGTGTTTGTAACGCCGGGCGTCGTCCGGCCGAGAGGCGCCTGGTCATCCGTGCTGTATTAGTGCGAGTGGAGCAAAGGGTGCCCCGGTCCTGCGCTTGGCTGTTGCCTCTTTAAGAGAGAGAGTGTGTATGTGTGTGTAGCGGCTATGGGTGGGGGTGGGTGGATTTTTGCATTGGTCTGCTGCGGTGTTTTTGTGTCGCTGTCAGTGCGTTTAGCAGCTGGGCTTCGGACATTAGACGGGACTGCGAGGGGAGAGGTAAGAAAAAAATCCGCTACCCGGTTTTCCTATTTCATTCACGTCGGTACTATAACAAGAAGAAAAATAATTATGAATAGAAATTTATTTTAACCATGGAAGCCACCCCCTATTGAATCCCCCCTTGATAATGGCTTCTAGGTTTGAGATGCGGTCCCCTCGTTTGATTTTTGTCTGGCTTAATAGAAACGGTGCGTCTCATACACTTATTTCAAGCCTGTGTATGTTTTTTTGCGCGATTTTCGTCGTCCGTGAAACTTCGGCGTCCCTGATTCAAGGACGCAACCCATCGGTGAGGATCCAGGCGCGCAGAGCATCCCTCGATAACGCCCGGTGGATCGGGTCGCTTTTAAAAGCCGAGGAAGCCGTCCAGACGTTTTCCGTGCCCTCGCCATTTCGGGACGGGAGCGCTTCCACCGACGATGCTGCGTGTTTACATTGCCTGCAAAGTAACACGCGTTTAAACCCGTGCTGTCAAGCAAGCAACTTATTGTTATTGTTACTTAGGCGAAATGAGACAGATCTCTTTATATACCCATGTGGGTAGCTACCGAAGCCACGAAAGTATGTAGTACTGGGATCTTTTTTTCAGCGCTTCGAAATCATGGTTTTATAACAAAAAAAATCTAGGTGTGGCAGCTGAAAGTGGCATTCTGGAATTAATGATAATTTCTTTATTTACTTATTGAGAAATAACGTGCTTGCTGGGAGCCTAGGGAGAGGGTGGGTCCGTTTTTTCCGAGTTTCATGACTTCCAGATGTGCACTATTAAAACACCGCTGCTTCTCTCAACTATGCAAAAAAAAATGCACGAGAAGTATTTAGGCTAATGATAAGCGCGTTCGCCTTTTCTTTATGCCCGTGTTCCGGTTAGATGAAAACTAACAGATGCGCCTTTCGGACACGATCCAGAGGCAAATAAATGGCTAAGGCCGTGGGTCTTTTTTCCTGAAATGATTTTTCCACTTTGGGCATATATGGGAAATGGAGCTACGAAGTTAATGGCTGCTGCCCGACTTTGTCCGTTTGGCGTCCGAGACCGGTCGTATTTGGAAAGTATTTGGTTCCATTCTGGTCACTGTTTCACACAGTTAACGAAAGTTACACCGCTTCTTTAGAGAGAGGGAAAGAGAGAGAGAGAGCAGTCTCACATAAATGACTTCATTGTTCCGTTATTTTTTCATACTTAGTTTTGTAAGACAGGCCTACTTTTATTCATATATATACACACATACACATATTTTTTATGAAGTTAACTAAATAGCCAGCGTGATTGTAGCATCCTACTCAGAAGATTGTTCTTTATGTAAATGTTAATAATGATACCTGAGAAAAGTTTTTTATTGTGATAACTCAAACATGGCATCTTGAAGTTTAGTAGCTCATGCGATTAACATTAAACGCAGTGAATGATTGATTGGCTTCCAGTGTCGACGCTCTTGTGAAGTTTTGTTTATTACCATCCCAGCGGGGGGGATGGGATGCGTCTCTAACAGAGTCACATTCCCGTTTAATGTGTTTGGAAAGAGGGGGTCGCACCTTTGGAACCTGGAGGAATCCGAAGCTATAAACCCAATTTATCTAACGAGTTGCACGCTGGGCATTGAAATTGCTCTGCAAGAGTAACTGGATTAAAATGCTAACTGTATGCAGGCGCATCCTTAGGATTTGGAAACGTTTTTATTCTCCTTCAGGACGGCACGCTTTGCTTATGCTGTCATCTGCCGTGCTGAGTTCAGCGTTTTTCTTGGTTTTTTTTTTTTTGCACTATCGCATGGAGGCTTTTCTCCGCGGCTCCGCGAGGCTTAGCGCGTGTGGCTGACGTCACCCGAGACTTAGCAGAGTGATGTCATTGAAGCCGCGCGTGTACCCCGCGCAGGTGAGCCTCTGCTTTGTTCTCGCGGAGAGGTATGGAGACCCTCCCCAATAAGGGCGGCGGAGCCACAAAAATACCGGTGGAGGTTGGGTAGAGTTAGGCATGCCGTCAAACCCGCCAGGGAAATCGGAGTGGGGTATGGGGGCGTTTTTGGGAAGCCCTTATCGGCGCATTAAACTGAGCGCGCGCTCCTCGCCTTCCCCATCGCTTCATTTTTGATTATTTTTTATTAAACAGTCCCTGTATAATATTCTTGTATTTGTCCACATTTAAACGATCACATGCGACATCGTGTCGCTTCCCTTGTTTTGTTTAACGGTCACCCTTCAGGGCTTAGTGGTTTTTGCGGTGACAGAAATTGCCCTTTTACAATCCCCGAAACCAGACCATTTACTTATAGGTTTTAATAAATACTTTAATGATGTTTAAGACTTTATTTGCACTCGCCATCGATTGATTTAATATGTTTATCATAGTAATGAAGCCCTTGTTGATTTGTTTCGGTTTATGAGTACATGTGGTATGCGCCTGTAGATACGGCGTGGATTAGTCATTTTTTAAAGAAGCACTTAACTACAAAGTCTCCAACAACTTCCTGTGTTTGCCCGTGTTTCTTTCCTGTGTATAGATGAGACACCGTGGGTTGGTTAAGCATCTGTAGTGTTCATCTAGCCTTCGGACAGCTGATATGGCATAATATAAATATTTAAGCAAGTTGCGGACTTCGGTGATGCTTAATACCGTGTCATGCCGGTACAGATAAGGCAGTCAAGGGTCTTTTGTTTGGATGGCATTGAGTACTCACTGCAGAGGAGGACATGCAAATCTGTGGCCAGTTCACAGAAAGTGCTCTGTTCATGCAGGCATGTGAACCCAACCGCTTTGTCTCTCTTGTTTGAGAGGCTCCAGTTTTTCCCCGTTTTAATTGCTAACAACACTTTCAGTTAACTTCATTCATTCGACCTTCTCAAAAAATGACTGCTGAAGCTTCTAAATGATTTTTTTTTAGTAATCAAGGTGAATTTTGGTGTTCGGCTCCTCGTGTGGGGGGGGGATGGCCTGTGTGAGGCCTGCTCAGGATGGGACCTCTAATCCCTGCATGATATCATGTTATACAAAACATTTGTCCAGCTGTTATGCACTGGAGTCATTCAGGGGAAAATGTGCCTGCAGCTTCTCACTGCTGCCCAAAGCATGGATCTGCTACTACGACTGTTTCCCCATACTGACCACAGTTTCATATTGACTGTTTCTCGCTACTGACCGATTCTCATATAAACTATTTCTCAGTTCCGATCACTGTCTCTCATCGCCCATACTGAGCCCCGTCTCACTTCAGCACTGTCTGGTCGATGTGTTCTTTCTCATAGTGTTGAGGGCCGGATGACTGTTCTCTGCTGCTGACGGACTCTGAGTTCACTTGCCCTCTGCGGTTGTTTGTTCCTGCCCGGTCACGGAGCACCTATACCTCTCAGAATTTTCCTGACTCAATCCCTTTTTGTTTTTGAAGTCACATGCCGCTCTCGTTTAACTTTAGCTCTGTGTCTTTCCTTGGAATCTATCCCTGCCTGATCTCCTGCTGCTTCTTCTCAAAGTTCTGCTCCAGTTTCACCCATAAACTAACTCTGCTCCCCTTAGGCTCAGCTCCTTCGCCTCCTGTTACGCACTGTAACTTTTAAAACTTTCTTCTTTTCATGGTGATTCACGTACCTTCAACCCATTTTCTCGAAGGTTTGGGGTGGGGGTAGAGGGGGGTGGTATCAGCCCGCTCGGCCAGCATAGCCCGTGGCTTTGTTTATTTTGCTCCTCCTTAAAGAGTAGAGAGGGACAGGCGGCGCCTCCCTGGGAGGCACAGTCAGGGAGGCACAGTCAGGGAGTCCACGGCGTTGGAAGTTGATGCCAAAAGTTGTCATTTTTTCGTCCTTCCCGGCAAGGCTGCGTAATGTAAAATGCAGCTCCAGTCGTCTGCCCGAGAGAATCTTTCTTCAACACTTAAAATAGGGGTCCTACAGGCAAGTGCTACGGACAGACCGTCCATAGCTGACATTGGCATTTCACAGTAGTCCAGCTCGAAAGAAATAATGGACATTTTTAAAAGTGGTTTAAGAATTTGTGTGGAAGTCTACATGCGGGGGGATGGAGGACAGGTCTGGCTTTTGTACCATTGAGTGATGTATGTGTGAGTTACTTTAGCTTTGCAAATGGGCACCGTTGTGACATGTAAGCTACTTTGGATGAAGCATCTGTTAAATGACTAAAAACTTAAAAAAAAAAATTTAAAAACCCAGCTAGGAATTAGGGTCACGGCTAATCTGTTTGCTGTAAGGTCATGTGTGCCGGCGGACTGCAGAATATTTAGGTAGGTAGTCCTGTGCACAGCAAACCTCGGTGGCACTATGGGGACGGTGACAGGTGGAGCAGTCCCTGTATTGGTGTCTGAGTTTGTCCCACCCTCGAGGAGGGCAGGCTACGCCACTAACATGGAGAGCATACCAACTAAATGTAACTTTCCACTCCCCTCAAAAACTTTGTTGCATGTCCAGCCTTCAGAAAAAGCATCTTAAATATTTGAACACTTCGCAGGAGGATGCCAGAGCGGTGGTCTGGCTCGTTGACAGATTATCTTGGCTGCGTATAATTTGACCGCTATACTCAAACGCATCTAACTCACGAGTGCCGTGGACCGTCCCGGCTTGTAATGCACCGCCTGCTTCCCGTCCCAGTGAGCGCTGGCCTGGTATTCCACCGTCGTCTCAGCCACGGTGGCGTGGCGATGGCAAGCTAAAAATGCCAGGGAGTGCTGGTGCTCAGTACGAAGCAGGGCGAGCCTCCCGCCTGTGACTCACAAGCACAGTTTATATCCCCGATTATAAATAGTGTCTCGGAAAACTTTTCATCTAGACGTCCACATTCCCACGCTTTTCCGATTTCTTGAAGACGTGCTCCGCTGTTGGGCAGGAGGTTGTTAATGTCATTAAGTGCCATTCCTCTGAACACCTTACTACCCCCAGCCCCCCCCCCAGTTTGGGAACTTTATAATTATGACTGAGTGTAACTCTTAGGACATTTTTCTGGCGCCGAAGGGATGCTAGAAAGTTCTCTGCCAAGTTCTCAATGAGTCTCT